CTTAGCTAAAGTGTATGTCAAAAACAGATTTGGGTAATTGTGATGCTGCCTCACATTCTAGAATTTGGAGTTTGGGGTTGTTTTAAATATTTTAATCAATAATCTAGAGGGAAGTTGTTGGAAGTTAAGCTAACATCAGAGAAGCTTCCAGCTTCCTGAGGAAATTTTCATTCAATAAACAAGAATACTCAGATTATTGTACCTAGCTGAGATGAGGAGTATTGTGTTTGCTTTTAGATCTTTAGTTTTTATAATGAATGAACAGTTTGAATCTAAACTTCTCATTTCTATTCTTTCCTTGCTGCTGTGCAGGGACAGGGAAAAACTGAAGAGGAGACTGGAGTACAGCCACCAGGTAACTGCACCCAGGTGTGCTCTGCAGGATTTGCTCACCAGGAGGAAACCCCAAATCCCCTTTTTTTGCTGGAAAATCCATTTCTTTCTCCTTAGGAGGGAGTTTGAGAGGGACAAAACTGGAGGGGATGGCAGTCACTGGTGGCTGTTTGCTGGCAGGACACCCAGTTCTTGAAAGGGGATTTGTTGGACAGAGATGTGATGAGGATCTGAAGGAAAGATGCCACAAAAAGTGGGGATAGGCAGAGGTGGAACAGCTACACTTGTGCAAGGAGTCACTCATTAAATTCAGGTTAAACCCAGATGCAGATCCAGCTGTTGGATGGGAATGTCTGGATTCTAACTCAGAATCAAATTTTCTAAGTAGGATTTCATTTCAGTTGCTTTCAATTTCTGGCCTAAGATCATTTCTGGAGAAGAGATGCTGCATGTGCTGTTTAAACCTATTTATTTCATTTTACTGTTTGTCTCCCATTGAATCTCCCCCACTACAAAAGGAATTTCTAAAAGGGAAAAAATTGCTCATTTTGGGCCAGCTGAGTGAACCCTGAGCAGCTTTCCCAGGGATGTCTGTCCTGGAGGTTGTGTCTGTGTGTCAGACAGACACACAGCTTGGGAAAAGCTCTTGCCTGGGATTCTGCACAGCACTTTAAATGAAAAAGTGGATTTGCAGTAGTCCAGTCAGCATTTATCATCCCAAAATCCTGAGCCTGGGTTCAAGGAGGTATTTGGATATAGAAATGTCAGAATTTCAGGTGTTGGTATATAAAGAATTGCTTAAATCTCTCCTGAAGAATCTACTAATATCTGTTTATTTCCATTCTTAACTTACATTGTCTTATAGATCAATAATGAAATATTTTTAAAAACATCTGTTTCTTCAAGTAAAGACTTCAAACCATTCTCACCTTCGAGTGCAAAGGAAGCTCTTCCAAGGTTACTTATACCAAAATCCTCAGATGCTTCTGTTAGGAGATCTCTGCCTATTTTAATCAAAGTATCTTCTCATTTGGATGCTGATAGCAGGTCAGTGGAGCTGTACAAAGGAGATTAAAATTAATAAATTCATGAAAATGATGGGGAAAAATTAATGAAAATGATGATTGGGGGCAGCTTCAGCTGCTGAAATTCCTGTGGGAATTCTGGGAGCATGGGAAGCTCCAGGAGACTTTGTCAAGTACAAAAGTGAATGTAAGAAAACGAGAAAGGAGCATTTTTAGTGATTTGTGTGCTCAGGAACAGAATTTGTGTTCTCCACACTCCACAGGCTGTTTTCCTGAAACTCTGTGGGGATGTTCTGGCAATACTGGGTGTGTTTCAGAATAATGTGGGAGTGTGGGTGGCAGGCACTCGTTTTTACAGGAATTTATTCTGATTAAAATCCTATGCAGGTGATTTTTTTGGAGTGGTAATTTTTGAACAGTGCACAGAGAAACACTGCACATGCTTGGAAACAAATGGTTTGGCAGCATTTATGCAAATAAAATTTTTATTTTAATGTTTTCCTCCTCAGCCTCAAAAGGAGGACGCAGAGCTGTGCCACACCCGTGTCCCTAAAGACGCCTCGGCTCAGTGACAAAACATTCAACAACCACGAGCAGGAGGATGATGATGATGAAGATGTCATCATTTTAGAGGAGAGCAGCACTCCAAAACCTTCAGCAGATCCTGATGTTCCTGTGGTGAAAACAGAATGCATCAATTTGGATCAGGAGGAGAAGCAGAAGGAAAACTCTCCTGTGGGGGAACCTTGCAGTGCCACCACTTCAGAGGCAAGAAGTGAACAGCTGAGCTCAGCAACACAGACAGAGCTCCCCAAGCTGGTGGTGAAAAAGGAGGAGGTAGAAGACATCCCAGTCCAGGTTCCTGGGCCAGGGATGGAAAAGGAACAGCCCAAGGTCAATGGTGTTCCTGAGACATCTGTAGAGATGGAAAATGAACTGAAAATTCAGCTGCAATTGTTGAACAGAGAAAAAGAAATGTACCAAAGCAAATGCGAAGCGTTAACCAAACAGGTGCAAACACTGGAGCAGCAGCTTTTGGAGATGAACAATAAATGTGTGAAAAAGGAGATGTGCCACCAGGCCACAGAGACAGCTCCCTCCTGCCAGGAGGGGAGCGCTGATGGGAGGAGCCTGGCAGAGGTGACAGCTCTCTATGAGCAGGCCCTGGGCGAGGTAGCAGCGCTCAGGCAGCAGTGCAGCACCCTGCAGAACCTCAAGGCTGAGTGCAGCAAATGCGCTGATGGGGAGAGCAGGAGCGAGCTGGATGAGATGGCCGTGCAGCTGGATGATGTGTTCAGGCAGCTGGACAAGTGCACCACCGAGAGGGACAGCTACAAAAGCCAGGTAACCTGCTGTGCTG